CGTCACAAACCGACTCAGTGCGAACAGATTGGCCTGGGACACGTTCGAAGTCCCTTGGGGCCAACGCTCTTCCTCCTACTCCTCCTCCTCCACCTCCTTCCTCCTCCTCCTCATCCTCCTCATCCTCCTCCTCCTCCTCCTCCTCCTTCTCCTCCTCCTCCTCCTCCTTCTCCTCCCCCCCAACCCGTCCCCCCTCCTCCTGACTCCTCCTCCTCCTCCTCCTCCTCCTTCACCATCTCCTTTCCTCCTCCTTCCTGCCACGCCCTAGATTGTCCTCCTCCTCCTCCTCCTCCTCCTCCTCCTCCTCCCCCCGCCCCCATCCCCTCTCCCTCCTCATTCTCCTGCTCCTGCTCCTCCGTCCCGTCTCCCTGTACCTTCGACCTCTTATCACGCATCCCCTCACCCTCGAGGACCGAGGCATCCAGGGTCGGCGGCACTGGCCGTAAGGCCTTGCCAATAGGGGGGAAAACAAGGGGAGGAGGATTACGGAGGAGGAACCCCCTCCTCCTTCATCCTCCTCCTCCGTAATCCTCCCCCTCCTGACTAGAGGGGGAGAACATCGAAACCCGTCAGCAACCGACAGAAAAGCGAAGAAGTTGGCCTCGCGTGGCCCACCCAGGCGCCATCAAGGAGCGCGACATCCATTGGTCTCCATCACCTTTTGTTTGAACGTGGAACGTTCTGGAGCATCTTGGAGGCAATTGTTTGATGGCGCGCCAAAAGCGGCGCAAAGGTCTGTTCCAGCACCGGCCGGGCGGGGACAAAGGCACGCCGGCTTCCGTGCCAGCGAGTGCCGAGCCGCCTGCGCCCAGAGCTCCTAATCGTTCCTTGTCGCGCCTCCTACCTGGCCGTCGTGTAACAGGTGTCGGCGTCGACGAAAACATGGCTAAGCCTGCCCGAGGTTGCGCCTGCCCAAAGTTACTTCACAACCCTCATTTGCCAAGCGCCTGGCCACGATCGTTTCTGCCGCAGGCGGTGAACGTGCCGTCCTTCAGCAGGCCCAGGCTGTGCTGGAAGCCGGCCGCGATCTGCACGACGTCCCTCCACTGGGCCACGCCGGACGTCTGGCCGTAATCGTCCTCGCCGCAGGCGGTGACCGTGCCGTCCTTCAGCAGGCCCATGCTGTGCGCTCTGCCGGCCGCGATCTGCACGACGTCCCTCCACTGGGCCACGCCGGACCTCTGGCCGTCAGAGTCCAGGCCGCAGGCGGTGACCGTGCCGTCCTTCAGCAGGCCCAGGCTGTGCAATCCCGATCCGCTGGCCGCGATCTGCACGACGTCCCTCCACTGGGCCACGCCGGACGTCTGGCCGTAAGTGTCCTCGCCGCAGGCGGTGACCGTGCCGTCCTTCAGCAGGCCCAGGCTGTGGTACGCGCCGGCCGCGATCTGCACGACGTCCCTCCACTGGGCCACGACGTCCCTCCACTGGGCCACGTTGTAGCTCTGGCCGTCAGAGTCATCGCTGTCAGAGTCATCGCCGGAGTGGAAGAAGAAGACCCTGCCGCAGGCGGTGACCGTGCCGTCCTTCAGCAGGCCCAGGCTGTGCGATCCGCCGGCCGCGATCTGCACGACGTCCCTCCACTGGGCCACGCCGGACGTCTGGCCGTAAGTGTCATGGCCGCAGGCGGTGACCGTGCCGTCCTTCAGCAGGCCCAGGCTGAGCGATCCGCCGGCCGCGATCTGCACGACGTCCCTCCACTGGGCCACGCCGGACGTCTGGCCGTAACAGTCCTCGCCGCAGGCGGTGACCGTGCCGTCCTTCAGCAGGCCCAGGCTGTGGCAGCCGCCGGCCGCGAGGACTCTTAGCACATGAACTGTGCTCCTTGCCTCTGCCTGAGCATCAAGCTCGACCTGGATGACACGGCAGTCGAGCCCGCTCACCCGAGAGAGCTGCTTCTCCTTGTCCGAGGCGTTCGTTACCACAATGTCGTCGTGACGGAGGTACTCGGCAGCAAGGGACGCCGAAGACATCTTATTCGCAATGGTGCTCAGGAGCCATGACTTTAACGCATCGTCCGCTCCCAAGATGGGAACCACGTCGCAGCGTGAAGCGTCAGAGATGAGTGCTGGCTTGAGCCCTGTCGAAGTTGGCTTCATTTGGGAGAGCCACGCTTCGTACATTGTCCAAAACCTGGACACGTAAGTCATGTCCAGCAAGATGACGACCCTGCAACCGAGGTACAGCATGTTGACCTCGCTGAGCATGAGGTCGAACTCGGCCTTCTCGTCGACAGTGATTTCACGCTGGCCCTCCTTTCAAAGAGGGGGAATTTGAGACAACGACAGTTCGAAATCGGCTCCACAGAATTCCCCAGCGCCCCTCCTGGGGTCCAATCGCACACGTTTTTCGCGCTGCGTCCAGCCGTCGCGACGAGGGCACCCCCAACTGCCAACTACTGGTGTCGCAAACAGCCCTCATCTCATCCTTGTTCGCCTGCCACATGCACGGCCAGTCAAGCCACAAGTACTTGACCTCGCCGTGTTTCGCCCTCCAAGTCCTC